TGTTGGTTGAGCCATGGAAGAGTATTGCAATGTTTTGTTGCTCTCAAGGAAGAAATCGTTCGATTCTTAGAGAATGACTTGAAAAAGTTCCCAGAGCTGCACAATGAAGTTTGGAATAATTACTTGTATTTTTTATGTGACATTACAGGTCACCTAAATGAACTAAATTTATAGCTTCAAGGGAAAAGTCAACTTATTTTTCACATTCTTGCAACAGTAAAGGCTTTCAAAACGAAACTAAGGTTATTCAAAAGCCAACTAACAAAAGGAGAAATGTGCCACTTTACTACGTGTATGAAACATATTCCATTGTGTAAGCATACTGAGTTAAGAGAAAAATATTCAAATGACATTGAACTTTTGATCCAGGAGTTTGACAGAAGACTGACACTGTCCAAAGAAATAAAATTTAAGTTAATTGAAGATCCTTTCTCTGTGGATCCACAGGAACTCCCTGCACATTTACAGCTAGAGGTTACTGAACTTCAGTGCTCAACAGTTTATTGAAATAAACACAGAGAAACTAGCCTTCAAGACTTCTATAAGAGTTTGGACAAGGGAAAGTTTTAAAATCTGCTAGATGGTGCCTTACAGGTTTTCAGCATATTCGGGAGTACCTACATATGTGAACAAACCTTCTCCATTATGAACTTGAATAAAAACAAGCAATGTTCAACACTTCAGTGCTCAACAGTTTATTGAAATAAACATAGAGAAACTAGCCTTCAAGACTTCTATAAGAGTTTGGACAAGGGAAAGTTTTAAAATCTGCTAGATGGTGCCTTACAGGTTTTCAGCATATTCGGGAGTACCTACATATGTGAACAAACCTTCTCCATTATGAACTTGAATAAAAACAAGCAATGTTCAACTCTAACCAATGAACATTTGGAAGATATTTTGAAAACATCAATTTCAAACATGCTTCCGGAGTACAATAAACTGATTGCTTACAAGAAGTGTAATACATCCCATTAACGAAATGTAAATAGTAAGAAAACCTTAAAAATATATTCAAACTTACCAAAGTAATATTTTTTTCTTAAGTAATAAGTGTAATAATTGAAATTTCCTTTTTATAATATGGTTTACTTTATTT